CCAACACATATGACTTGAACCTTGATCGTTACCTGGAATTTGTCAAGTACACCTGTAAACAGGTCTACTTGGTATTTGTGAATCCAGTGTAATTGCTTTAGATGAGGCCCTGAAATGAAATTAAAAGTGCTTTGAGCCTTGTCACTGGTGGGCACTCTTCTCAGAACTCACGTGTGCCACGCTGGGACAGGCCCTGGAGAAAGCAGGCTGTGTGTGCAGCATTGTGCAGTCTCTGCTTGTTTAACCTGTGACGTCAGGAGCTGGACCCGGGGGAGGCCTGTGACTACACTCTCAGGAGTGGAACAAAAGATTGTCTTGGCACCAAGTAATGGCACCACGGCTGTTGAGCTGAAGAATCTGCAAGTGTTTAGCGGCTTGTACAGGGCACATCATTTCAATCTTACATTGAGGGGCTAGGTGTTATCTCTTGCTCTGAAGAAGTACTTTTTGGGTGCTTTTCCCCCCATCAGGTGTGAAAACCACCAAGTGCCTTATGTTGCAATCTGTTGGCATAATCCAGATGGTGCTCTCCTTTCACAGATGCAGAAATGAAAGCACACAGGCAGATGAGGGATGGGGGTTGTGCCTCATTGTTTGCAACAGTGCTTTTCCCAAATAGCTTTAGGTAAGACAAGTTTTGTAAGATTACCTCATTTTAATCTTAGTTGTGCCTTTATTTTCTAAAGGAGTCCCTTTGCAATGTGGACAGAGTTTGTAGCAATAATACATACCCTCCTCCAAAATAATTTTAAAAATCTTGGTACAACACATTTTCTTAAATGGAGCCACCCACTTGGGACCCCTGAAACCAGTTCAGCCTGAAGAGCTAGTTCCTCCCTGGAGAGCCAGACTCTGGAGCCAGATGGGCTGGGTTGGAATTCCTGGCTCTGCTACCTGATGATACTTACCTCTCTCTGCCTCAGTTTCCTCCATGGGAAATAGGAAACTAGTAATAATTTCTTTGTAGGGTTGTCATGGGGATTAAATAAGTAGCACATGGAAAAGCTGAAATCACTGCCAGGAATGCATGTCAGGTGCTAAGTGAATGTCTGAGTCAGTATATGAAGGCTTCAGAATGGTCCTTTGTTCCCTTGAAAGAGAAGTGGGTGGTGGTGGGAAAGACTTACTCTGGTCGGAGGAGTTTTATGACTTAGTTCATATGAAGCTATCAAGGAAGTAACCTAATCTGGAAAAGCATGGTAAAAAAAAAAAATTAGGAAACTGTAGCGCCAACTTTCTAAGTTCAAGGTGACCATAACAGACCTTCCAAGTCTTAGTGGCTTTATAAAGTACAGGCTTATGTATTGCTTATGTGTCAGGCAGACCAGAGTGGTCAGGTAGTTCCCCTCAGTGTGGGGATTCAGGGATCCAAGCACATGCCATCCCTTGGCTTTGCTGTATTGGAGTCCTTCACTTCAGCTGTAAGGATGATGGAGAGAGAAAGAGGGAGGCAGAGAAGGAGAGGGGAGAGAGGGAGAGAGAGAAGGAAAAGGGGTGGAGAAAGGGAGAGGGAAGGAGGGGGAGAGGGGAGACAGGAGAGAGGGAGAGAGAGAGAAAGAGAGAGAGAGAATATGAATAAATGAATGAGATAGAATCTGAGCCAAGGATCTTACAAAGGATTGTAAGGGCCAAGCAAGGAAGTGGCAACACACCATTTCTCCTCCTATTCCATTGGCCAGAACTAGTCACATGGCTCCAATCTACCTGGGAGGTTCTGGGAAGTCAATTCTCCCCATGTGCCCTGTAATAAGAAGCAGGAAAGAGGAGTATCCAGGTCATTTCTGGCACAGCTGTTAACCATATGACACATTTTATGCTAGTGGCAGATATTTTCTATTATTAATTTGTACACTTCACTGTAAACTATTTCTGAAATTCTGTATAATGCCAGGAGCCAGGTAGGACTCAAGGGAATTTACAATCATTAAGTTTCTTTCTTATTTTAGAAATTTTCAGGAAGTCAGGAAATCTCCTGAGAAATCTACTTCTGAACATTTTATTGCTGGGCAGTTAGCCAGTAAACAAGGACTTTTGGTGAAGTTCCTGACAAGCAGGTTTCTGGTAATGAGTAAGTTTTTGTGCTTTGTTTCCTGCTGGTGGTCAGTAAATGACAAAAAGCAAAGAAGTTAATGATCCTGTTGTGATTGAAATTACAAGGGACAATCTAAGAGTAGAAAATTTTAAGAAACTGCTCTTTAATAAATATGGCTCATTATTGTAACTAGTGTTTGTACTCAGCTGTGATGAGAGGGATGATGGCAGCATTCTGTGACTTATATCATCAAATAAAGAGACTTGCTCCTGCAGGTTTGTTAATAATATTTCACTTAAGCAGTTACTTTGAATCATAACTGGCCTCTGCACAGCTCGAACAGTTTATTTATGAGCAAACCTGGGAGAGTTTATAGCTATAGGGACACACCTTGTGCCCCCATTGCATTAAAACAGGCTGCCTTCAGCAGGCTTAACTATGCTTCCGGGTAATATATACATCATGTTTTGTAATGTTTCATAGTTCTGTGAATTGATTTCCAATCCCATTTCTTCAACCAGGGTTCAGACATTTAACACATTTCGGAAGTAGTATAATGTAAAGGTTGATCATTTGGTGTCTCCAGCATCAGATTGAGTTTAGATCCCAATTCTGTCACCCAGTCACTATGTGTGACCTTGGGCACTTTCATTGTCTGCTATGGTTGTCTAGGTGTCTCTGGTAACAAATAGGAGACTGGATGGCTTAAACCACAAGTGTTCATTTTCTCACAATTGAAGTCTGAGATCAAGTTTTGGCTGGGTGGTTTCTTCTGAGGCCTCTCTCCTTGGCTTGTACATCGCTGTCATCCTGTGTCTTCATGTGGTCTTACCTCTGTGCTTGTCTGGGTCCAAATATCTCCTCTTATAGGACATTAGTCGTATTGGATTAGGGACCTTCCAAATGTCCTCTCCAAATACAGTCACATGCTGAGGCACTGGTGTTGGGACTTCAACATAGAAATTTGGGGAGATACATTTCAGCCCATAATAGGCACTTACTTAGTTCTGCCCAGTCTGCAAAATGGGTTTATAAAAGTACTTTATAGCACTGTTGTGAGTATTTAAAGATATGATGCATGCCAATTGCTTAGAGTAATACATGGCATATAGTGAGCACTCACTAAATAGAAGTATTTTTATTATAATCATAAATCTTATTATATATACCTGTGTCATCTGTCCCAGTTGGGAGATGTTGTATGCCCAGCCTTTCAGTTATTGAGGCCCGGGATTAGTATAGACTTTCTTGTGCCCCCATAGCATTGGAACAAGCTGCCTTCAACAGAGCAACCGGGCAGAAGCCCAGATGTTGTGATCAAGTGGACGGTTATGGATACTGTGCTAAGGGTTTCTGAGTAGTCTTCTTTGGTGTTAGGCACCAGAGATGGCTGTGAAATGCTCTCAGATGTCCTAATTCCTGTAATGGCCTACCCAAAAGTTTTCCCAGACCTAGATAAACTCCTGGGGAAGAATAATCTGTCTATGTGTGACAAGGGCAAGAGACAGACGACTTTTCATATTGTCAGGGGAGTAACTATAAAATTACAGTGGTAGATTGCTGAATGAGAGAATTATCCAAGCACTGGAGATGATTTTTAAAAAATATATTTTATTGATTTTTTTACAGAGAGGAAGGGAGAGAGATAGAGAGTCAGAAACATCGATGAGAGAGAAACATCGATCAGCTGCCTCCTGCACATCCCCCCCCGGGGATGTGCCCGCAACCCAGGTACATGCCCTTGACCGGAATCGAACCTGGGACCTTTCAGTCCGCAGGCCGATGCTCTATCCACTGAGCCAAACCGGTTTCGGCAGGAGATGATTTTTAAGGAATGCAGTGTGTGAATGAGGTTAGCATACCTGTGATTGTACCTGTCCCACAGGTCTAGACTGGTGAGAATAGGCAGAATTCTATAATGTTGATATTATGGTAAGTTATCATCTTGGGTCCAAATAAGTGCCTGTTATCTAAATTCCTGACTATTTTTTTCCCAACTGACATAAATGTTCCTTCTTTTAAAAAAGTGTTGCTACTGTCAGTCACAACACAGTCACAGCTCATGTTACCCATTAGCAAGCACGGTTCTCCACCAGGGTCAGAGAAAGCAGGTCCCATGGGCTCTCATGGAGTCTGCTGTCCCAGAGGGACAACATGCCGTCAGTCCAGAGAACCTTTGGATGTGCTCGGGAGTCTCAGCTGCAGTGATGGCAGTTCATTGCTGCAGGCACGTCATGCATGGTCCAAACTGGATCCACTTAGCTCATCAGCTCCTAGACTTGAGCCAAGGGCATGCTAGCCAGCTGCCCTGCCTTACAATTTCTCTTTTGAAATGACTGAGAAATATTTGTCTTTTAATAAGTTATTAAGCAACAAGTAGGATGATTGTCACTTCTAAATACATATATAAGTGTGAATTTATATGAAGTAATTTTTAACTGACTATACAATAATAGGTATATGTACTCTTATGATCATAAAATCTGAAATACATCCTTACTGGGGCCTGGTGGAACATGGAATTAAGTAATTGTTTTAGTGTTATCTAACTTTTTCTCTATAAATCTATTTACCTTTCTATTAAAGAAAGCCCAGCATTGACTGAAAAAAAAAATCCTTCCCTATCAACACCTTCATATGCATTTCCACTACTCCACAGTTCTCCACCTTCTACTACTAAATCATCACTTAAAAATCACATTGTGCAACCTAACTCTGTGCAATTTTATGTGTTGGTCATACCTCAGAAATGCTGGAAAAACTATAAGGTTGCTGGTCCATTGTAAAAAAAAAGCTGTGGAGAATAATTAACAACATCTCTGACTATACCCCTCCCACGAGGTCATTCTGTTATTGCTGCCTTTTTCTTCCTTGGTTCTTTACTTACGTGTCTCTCTTGTAAAAGTGTTTTGAAAATTTGCCTTTTAATTTTTCACCTGGTTTAATGTCACTCTTTTTTTTCTTGAAGGAAAGAGCAAGTTAGTACCTTGTATCAAAACATCAACCTTGTGGAGCCGAGACTGATTCAGCCGTATGAACACGTTATCAAGAGCTTCATCCGTGAGATCAAACTTCAAAGCACAGAAATGGAAAGCCTGGCCATCGCGGTGAAGAGGTATTGAAGTCCTTCCTTCCTAAGTGGCACATGGGGTCCTGGAACTGGCTCCCTGACCCAGGGGCCACGTGGACTGAACTGCATTGTCACACTGGGGCATGGGAGGACTTCCTGATCCTCGGGAATCTGGGGCCTTCTGAACTGAGCAGCATGAGGGAAGTTGAGGCAGGCAGTACTGCCCAGGGTCAGTCAGCAATCCGTCAGCAGGTCACTGTGATCCTGTCATTTAAACTCTTCAGGGTCTTGATTCCATACAGAGCACTTCAGAGAGATGTGTTATCTTCTGTCCAGCCACTTGAAATGTAGGGGAAACTTTTCATCCGGAGAGGCAGGCAGGGCTGTGTTTGAAGCCTGGCCCTGTCACTGACTGGTGTGTGCCTGGACGGGTTCCTTAGTCTCCCTGAGTCTCAGCTTCTGCATTTGCAAAATGAGACTGTAAATATTCCCCTCCTCAGGGGGTGGAGACTTAATGGAGGTCTTCATGGGGGGTGCCCCTCCCACCGGACCTACGCAGGGTGGATGCTCAGCGATGCTGCCTTCCCCTTTCTGGCCCTCCTTACCCAACTGAAAGGCTAAGGGAAGCTAAGCCCTTACTCATACAGCCGGTTTGTGGAAGGCATAGCTGCTTACACAGGATATCTTACTGCTTTTAACAGCAAACCGGTAAGGTAATGAGAACATAAAGAATGCCATACAGTGCAAAGCAGAATTCTATGTGTTGCAATCCAAACATCGGCCTCTTTGCTTCCTGGAAGGGCAGCACTGCTTTGGCATATGTTGGGAAAGAGGACATTTTGTTTGTCACATTCCTGGTTCACCCCACAGAGGCTTCTTGCTGCAGTGCGTTCCTCCAGCAGCTCCGAGCCCTTTGGATAGGATGCCCCACCTCCATGGCGCAGGCCAGGGCTGCTCCTCTGTCTGTTCTTTCCTTCAACACAATTATTAGACTATCCAGTTGACCCTTTGAGGTAACCGGAGTGAAAATGTAGAAGAGAACATGTAGAACACTGATGTTAAGTAGGATTATTTTCAGAGTCCCAGAGTCATGCAGAAGTTGAACTGTTCTCAGGGGGTTGCTCATGAACATGATCACTTCCTGGCTCTGATCCTCTCCCTCGGGTCTGCTGGGGCCTTGCAGTAGATGCTCTCAGAACTCTCGATTCTCTGGAGCATGTGGAGTGTCGGTCAGGGCCCCAGGTTGGCCTCCTTTGAGAAGTGACTAGCAGACACACATAGTGAGTTTTCAGAACGTCCAGTGAGTACCTGTTAAAATAGACAAACTCTCATGTATACACACAGGTACACATATATAGACTCACAGAAAGATATGCAGGACACACACACACAAACACACACACACACACACACGCTCAAGCACACATGGCCTCTAAGGCAGTACCAGGTAAACACATTAGGGAAAAAAGGAATGGCATTCTTTATGTTCTCATTACTGGTGCTGCTCTCAGCTGTGGAGTATGTCACATGATGTTGAGCTGTCTTGATGCTTTTCTCCTCCCCCGTCCTGTGCTCTCTGGGTAAGATCCAAAGTCAGGCTCTGCCCTGAGCTCCGGGCCTCCTAAAGGCCCCTCTCATAGCTGTTAGACACCTCACTGATGCATTTATATGACCACTGTGGACATTTCCTTACAGTCCTCGCTAAGGCCCCTTCATCCTCACCTCTATTTTTTAATTGGGGGAGAGTCTTGGTCTGTATTTACACCTGAAGAATGGGTACCCAGTGTTCTGGTAGGGGCCCTGGACTGGGGTAAAGTAGACATTCCCAATACCCTTGACATTTTCCTAGGAATTGCTGGGGCAAACACTGTCGTTATAGCCTGAACAATAAAAAAGAGTAAAAGTTGCTCAGAAGTGAGAAAAGATGAAGAAACACATTCAGAAGCAGTCCAGGTACCCAGATGTTTGGGACGGGATGTCTAGAAGGAAGGGCTAGAAAAACCGGTCCTAAGAAAGGGAGAAATGGATATGTGGCATCGCTCTTTACAGTTTCAGGGTTCATCGAAAAACAAGCAAACCCCAACACCCACATTGCTATGGAGAAACATAATTCCTAGGGTTCAAACAGCAGTTATTTATAAACAAACTAGAACTAGCTGGCTTTCCGTACCAGGTTAACATAACCTTGGGCAGGCTGTAAGGTGACGAGGGAGTAAACAGGAGCAGAAAACAGTAGTAAGTCATTCAGAATTTTATTTTGAGGTCCTCCCCCCACTCTTCAATGTTTGCTTGAGACCTTAGGTAGAAATTAAACTAATGCACCAACAAATTGCCTCGCAAGGAAGTAAGAGCAGGTGAGATGGTGTAGCAGAAGCCAGCAAACTGGAGGATGGGAGGTCTTCTACTCAGGCCCTGTTCCCTACTGTTTATGAACTGCGTGTCACTGGTCCAGGTGAACCAGCGCTAAATCTCCTGGTGGCTGCTTTCATGTCACTTATAATCTAGTTGAGTAGGCAAGATATATGAGTGTGAAATGTAGATACTTGGACATATAGCTGAGAGAGAATGAAAAATAATGGTGTTAGGGCTCACTCAGAAGCCTCAACCATTGTAGAGTGGCAGATGTCTCCATACTGGGCAATTGCTACGTAAAACTTTCCTGAAACTCTTCTCAACAGACTTCTCCCATTTCTTACTTTTTTGTCAAATCAGTATGTTCTGCTTCCATAAAATATAATTAATTGATTACATTAATAAAAGAAATTTTCTAACGGGTAACTGTATCTACATTTATAACTTTAATGAATTGATTAGTAACAATTGCTGAGTTCCTTCCTTTTCCTTCTTCCAGCTGTAGCATATAACAGTGTGTGTTTCGTATAATGAAATTTCAAACCATCTCTTTGCCATGGAGCGCTTTTTTTTTTCCTTTGGTCTAGGGTTCTAGCTCATCAGGACAGCAAAAAGGATTTTCAGAATTTATTGGCAGCTTCCCAGTTGTTTAGTATCTTTATCAGTTCTTTGCCACAGGTTAGTTGAATGCCATTTTAATCTATTCAGTTTATTTAATATCTAGTTTTAATGTTCTCTTACATTCAAATGGTCACCTGGCTAACCTCATTTTATTATGTGGAAGGCACAGCAATTACTATTTTGAATGCTGTATTTCTCCTCATTTATAAAATAAAAGGCATGAGGTTGATCAGTGGAAGTTTTCCTGTTATAAGTTTAAGAGGAGAATGAAAAGGTGTGCATCACCCCTTGACTTTCAGAGCCCAGGACAAGGCAGCCATGCAGCTGAGTGAGTTGGAGGAGGAAATGGATCAGAGGATTCAGGCTGCAGAACACAAGACTCGGAAAGACGTGAGTGTTTGGGGTTCATTCATTCAGTGAGTTCTTACGGACAGGGCACCGGGCCACCTCTGGGTGTAGCATGTACAGGAATCGAACTGCAACCTTTCAGTGCATGGGCCGATGCTCTCACCACTGAGCAACCAGCCAGGGCTAGGCATATTTCTTTCAGTAGCTAGTGTTAGGTTTTATTTTTTTTTAGAAAAACATGTCATCTTTTTCCTACTCATTTGTCCTGTTAACTCTCAGAGGCAGCAAGTAGAGTGAAAAGGGCCTGAGTGCTGGTGTTCATAGACCTTAGTATGCTTTCTGGCTCTGTCCTGTGTAGGCTATAGATGGTGCTGGGAAAATAGCCTGACCTGAGCCTTTGTGGTCCCAATTCTGGAAATGGCCATGTATCTACAGTCATGTGGTTACTTCCCCCCTCCCTGTGTAGGAGACTTGGGAGCATTTTTAGTTTGACACAAGACATTTATCACCTGTGATTTTGAAGAGCCTATTTAAATCAAATTCACTTTTTTTTCCTTCTAGGAAAAACGCAAAGCTGAGGAAGCCCTCAGTGACCTCAGGCGTCAGTATGAAACAGAAGTAGGGGATCTACAGGTGACAATAAAGAAACTGAAAAAGGTAGGTATGTGGAAGCAAGACTTTTAGGAATAGCTCCAAGATATCAGTGTGACTGAGTTATAGGTGACTAAAAACATTTGGAATCACTTTGAAGCAGCAGGTGGAATCAGATCTCAGAATCAAATTGGACTCTGTGGCAAGACTTTTATGTTTCCAAAGGCATCCTTTCTTTTGCATAGATCTATGTGGGAGCACATTAAAGGCTGTAAAGAACTGTAGAGAAGTTTACACAGTTGTTTTAATCGCAATTACCTAAGCCATTGATGCTGAGAAACTCATTTTGCCAACTCAGTTTTTCTTCTCTGAAGTTGGCTTGCATTTTAAAGTCAAGGGCTCATCTCACAGTCAGCTGTGTGCAGTCATGACATAGTGTGTGAAACCTTCAGCTGAAAGATGGAGAAAGCCCAGTGTCAGAGTACTTAGACTTAGACTCAATGGCATAAGGCATTCATTTTGATCAGTGCCTAAATATTCAATTAATGGACACCCACAAATCCTCACATTTCCCACGGCTGTAAGCTGTTTGTAGGGAAATCATTTTTGTTGCCCATGTCATAGATGATCTTGAGCTAGTTTAGTCTGGAAATAACTAATGAGTCAACCAGCAAGCAGAGCTCATGGACATACTTATATAATTTTTAGTGTGCACATGTCTCTACTTTCATATCATACGTAAATTTTACTGATTTCAATCATTTGATAAGAATTTCCTGAAATCACTATGAAGAAAACTTAGGTGAAAACGACACTCACTTTGTTCTTAAAAATCTTAGACTCTAGCAGGACAGGCAGAACACTCACAAATAATTATCATGCATGATAGAAAGTGTTAAGTGCAGATAAAGCTATAGGTGAATATAGAGGTCCAGACACATGCAATGTAACTGAAAAAGCAAGGATTGGGTTAAGAGTTGAATGGTTTCCAGGAAGGGTTTTCTAATTGTTTCAAAGAAAATTTATTAAACAATAAAACTCTTTTTTCAAATGTTTAAATTACTTAAATTCTTATGGAAAATTGACTTCTGGAATTTCCATTTCTATATACAGGGATATTCCCAAAATTAACTGAATCAATTAAGAGTAAGTCTGTAAATGCACAACCTTTATTTGCTCTTTCAGCTAGAAGAACAATCAAAACATGTAAGTCAAAAAGAAGATGTGGCTGCATTAAAAAGACAAATTTATGATTTATCAATGGTAAGAATCACCTTTTCACTTACAGAAATATATTTCCTGCTAGACTGCTTTTCCCTAAACATAATCATTGCACATTTCTGTCCAATTTCCATTTTTCAGAAATGTTTAAGTCACCTGAGTGCAGATGGGCCTCTTTTCCATTCTTTTAACTTTTATTGGTTTATTTCCTTTGGCATTTCATGTCAGTGAGTTCTCAAAAGGGAAGGAAGACAAATTCATATACTCAATTCACCATCTTGAGCTGGTAGCCTCCAGTGAATATTTTTTAAAAATCTTAGATAAATTTTTAAAGTTTAAAAATTATTTTTTAAAAATACTTAGGAAATTCTAATTTCTTTAGAATTTCCAAAAATTTCCAAAAGAACATTTTAAAAAATTTCTAACCACACTCATTTATTTTTAAATGCAAAATGTAAACATGTTAGGTGATAGGATTTATTGTAAAAAGAAGCCAGTCTAGATGGTAATAGATATATTAATTTCACAGAATTTTTATCAGTAGTTTCATAGCTGTCATTAGTAAGACAGGTGTTTAAATGTTTAGTCTCTGTTAATTTGCCAATAACATGTCAAAGTACATAATGACAAACTCTTGAGTGTTGGAGTTTGGCACCAAATGTTATGTATTAAAAAAAAACAACACACAACTTTGAGGATTTAGATTTTTGACACTTTAATACTTTATCATAATTTCAAGTTACATTGAATTGATAACTAGTTTTTTGACTACCAAGATTCGAAGACTTGTGGATGGGTGAGAGTGGTGTGTGGGAAAGTTACACTACGCGTTATTTCATTTCTCCCAGGTGGAAGAAACAGTCTTATGACCTGCAATGTTCCTTTTCTCTAGGAAAATCAGAAAGTTAAGAAAGATCTGTTGGAAGCACAGACAAACATAGCCTTTCTTCAGAGTGAATTAGATGCTTTGAAAAGTGATTATGCTGATCAGAGTCTGAATTCTGAAAGGTATGAATCTTCACATCTGATTTTTTTTTTAGTTTGAGTGGAATGTTTATTTAGGTAACCATCCATGGGCATGAAGCTTAGTTATGTAATAATTAAGACTTACTTATTAACTTTACTGATATAGTCTTTGCTTTCTAAAGATTTTACTCTTAGTATTGTTAGGTGGCCCAGGAAGCGGCGAGGAAATAAAGAGAGCCGAGTCAATCAGAAAAGAAAGAAAAGGAAAGGTTTCATTCTGCATCCTTGAGCAACCCAAGAACTCCAAAGACAGGGCCAGTGGATTCGTGCCCACCGGGAGGGGGGGCACTTTGTTTTATACTGTGGTTGGGTGAGGGGCGGGGACATGAACTGAGGAAGTCTCCGCTGCAGGGGGTCGGCAGGGTATTCAGGAAGGAGTCAGTATCTGTGTGGGGGTCGTTGTGGATTCAGGGAGAAGCCTGTATCTGTGTCTGGCAGGCTGATCTGTTAGAAATTCCAGGGAGGGTCCATTATCTCATCACATGTCTGCATGTATCCAATCGATCCTGGGCTCTCTCAGACCTAACAAGTATCAGCTTTCCTAGTGATTTTTTGTGTTTTAATTTTTTATACAAACAGATTAATTAGTTTAAATATTGACTGGGTAGGACAGTGCAGGGCTTAATAAATGATCGAATTAATTGGGAGTAGAAGAATGTACTTAATGTTACATTCTTGATATACATTAATATTACATCAATAGTTAGTGCTAATGAAAGGGCTTTGAAGGTAGGAATATTGGCCGTTCAATATAAGAAAAGGAAAAGTAGACATCTTAGACAAGTAATTTTATTTTGCTGTGCTTTAGTTTTGTAGTATGGTATATAATAACACACAGAGAGACATGTATTTATATATATGTGTATATATATGGAGATATAAAATTGCATATATGTGCAAATATAAAGTACATATATATGCATACACACATTTGCATATAAATGCATCTATATACATATATGCATATGAAATGTAAAAGTTGTGGTCTCTGCTCTTTGAGAACTTGAAATTTAATTGAGGAAGGTAAAAAGCGAAGAGACATTGAGGTGACCTTGGGAGGGGGAATAGGTTTGTGTTGGTCAAGGGGAGCAGAGGCACCATCAGCAAGTAACACAGGTGCCTAGTAATTTACTAGTACTAACTAGTACTGAGTACTAACACATTCAGTCCACATAATGCCCAATGAGACAGGGACTTTCCTTATCCCCATTTCACAGATGGAAAGAGAAAGTTAAGAGATGTTCTAGGTGAGGCAGTACCCAACACAGGGTCAAGAATATAAGGACAGATAAGCCTGGTTTGGGGGAACTGGTTATGCCACTGGACAGGAAAAAGACATTTTGAAATGAAAGGTAAAAGTTTTAAAAAATTAAAATGTTTAAAACCTTATTTAAAACTAAAATGTAAGAGCCCAGAATTTCTGGTGAACAAACTTAAATTTCTGCAGACAATTGGAAAAGTTTTAGCCTTATTAAGAGAGCAAATGTGCAGGTTATTGTGGACAAAGTTTGATACCTTGAGAGCTTTGGAAGCTAGTGAGGGGGTTTATCTGCTTAGAAATGGGGCTGAGATGGAATATGGGCTGGCTATGAATGGCTGGTGTTCAGAGTGGACTTCTTGAGGATGAGGCCAGGGCTTCATAATAGAGCAACAGAGGAATCAGTGTGTGAGAGTTTGTAGTGCATGGAGAAAGCCTGGTCCTGTGGATTCCCCATGATTTAGGAAGAGGAGAGGAGGGAAAGTAGGAGTAGGGGTAGGGAAGGGAGAGAAGGAATCATGAGAAAGGAGAAGATAGCTGGGGTTGGGATTGTATGAGGCTTGGAATGAGCAGAGAAGGGTTAGAACTGACAGTGAATTGAGGAGAAGGGACTTAGCAGAAGGTGAGTGATTCATTCCCAGTGAGGACAGCACCAGATCAGTGGAGTGGGGAGGAAGGGCTGGTGGGTGCAGAGTGGGCGATGAGATAGAACAGCACCTTGCACAAGGAAGCTGAGGGTGTGGTGTGTTTGTGGAGTCCCAAGAGGAGAGGAGGCTACTGACAGCCCAGAGAAACCAAGTGGGAGCACAGGTGAGATAGAAACCGTGGTCAAAGACACACGTCTTTGCAAAGGTGAAAAAGAGTTTGAAAGGGCAGGTTTGGGTAAGGCAGGACTGATCACCTAATTCTCACTCAAACATAAAATAATTTTACAGGGATCTGGAAATAATCCGAGAGTACACGGAAGATCGAAATAGTCTTGAGAGGCAAATTGAAATACTCCAGTAAGTTCTCATATAAAATGCTCATTGCATTTACATTTTACTTATTTTTTGTTAGTAACACATGTGCCACATGTAACACAGGTGCTGTATGCTAAGGGCTGGGTTCTCATGCCCACTCGTGCATCTTCTAGCTGTGCCGCGTTTAGCACAACCTCTTAGCTGTCTGACGCTTCTAATCCTAAATCATCTAATAAAACCCAGAACTAGAGTATAATTCTCTATGTCCTAGCAAGTCAGGTGGTGTGTCCAGCGTGTCTTTATTACACCTCTGTTAGAATAATGGCCCTGACCTTAGCGGCTTTCTCTGCAGCTCACCTGAGAGGTGGTCAGGCGTCTCACGGTAGTGCATGTCGCAGCAGCAGGCATACATGGTCCTTCTTTCACAATTTATATTGCCTGGTTATAACTGGGTATGGTTTTCCTTGGTTAAAAAAAAAACCCTATTGGAAATATTTTACCTGCTCTGTCAACTTCACAGTTGAGTTGCAGTAATTCCAGCTTCTGAGGCCCTTCCCCACAAAACCTCCCCCTCTCACTCCCTGTCTCTGTTTTCTACCCATGCAATCTTTTCTGCTGGGTTCACTTACCCCCAGTGAAGTAAGGTCAGGCTTGACAAATTCTTTTCACCATCTTTGAATGGTTTCCAAGTCTCACCTGTGGCAATTACAGAGTTGATGTACTACCATAATCCTATTCATTCATTCATTCATTCATTCATTCAGCATATTTGCATATTTTCACTCACCACCTTTTATGGGTCAGGTGCCGGGGACTGAGAATAGAGTGGCAAGTAGGAAGAAAAATGAATCTCTCTCCTAATGGGGCTAGTCTAGAGAAGAAGAGAGAAACTGATCAATAATAATAGAAATATGAAAGGCCGAATGAAAGAGGCGGGACAAAGGAAAGGGATGTGTATACTGTAGAGAACTTTGGCCTAATCGGGAAGGCCCAGGAAGTGTTCCCAGTGGAAGCATCAAGTGAACTGAGGTCTGAAGCATGAATAAGCCTTCAGTGGGGAAAGATTAGCCACTCTCCAAGACAGAGGTTCTGGATTATCCTCATTTCATAGAAGAGGTTGCTGAGGCTCCGGCAGGTTAAATAACTCCTGTCAGTCACGTGAAAAGGACCCTCCTGAGTTGGGATTTGAAACCAGAGTCAATGTTGGAGCCGTTAACAGGTACACGGCAGTGCCCAGTGGTACAGCACCAGGCCAGGAGTGGGATGCACGAGTAGCCAGAAAAGAGTGTAGCATCACACACCATGTCCATAGCCGGGCTGTGCACAGGGCGATAGAGTGGCTCCTGGTGTCAGCCAGGGCCAGGCATTTAGTGCGCAGAGACCTGCATGAAACCTATTCAAACAACAGAGCTCCCTGAGGGAAGAGAAGTTCCACAGAACAGCGAATGCCTTCCTAACATGCCTTGAGATCTTTAAAGAGAGGTGATGCGTGCATTCAGTTGTACTTCTAGTAATGAATTGTGATCTCAGTTTGTGAGGTGTGAAGGGAAGACGTAGGAAGTTACAGGAGATGGTAATTCCACCTTCTGAACATCACAGCCTGGAAAATAAGTGGTGACATTTCCCCCTACTGATACTTTCCACGTTGATTTATGTTTTATTTACTTACTCTGCAGAACAGCTAACCGGAAGCTGCATGACAGCAATGACGGCCTAAGGAGTGCCCTCGAAAACACTTACAGCAAGTTCAACAGGTCCTTGGTATGCAGCAGAATTTTCTAACGCGTGGTGTTCTGTCTCGGGGTAGACTATATCGATGGAAATCTTGTATTTTATTCAGGAGAACTTACAGTCATGAGAAACTATTCCATATAATAAAAGGGGGCATTTTCCAAAATTAAAAAACTGTGCTATCTCTCTGAGGAAACAAATGCCCAGAGGTTAACCAGCTCTTGTTAGGTAGCCTAGGAAACCAGAGAATGATGTGCAGGTGTGACCTGGGCCCTGGCAGGTCCATAGTGTAGCAGGTAGGTAAGACGTGCACAGGTAGCAGTAACATAAGAGAGAGTGGGCAGTCCATGGAGGTACAAATGAAACATTGCCCAGGTGAGGGGAGGGAGAGGGTGCTTCTGGCTGAGGAGTGTGCTCACACACACAGCATTATTTACGGTAGTGAGACCATCAGATGGAGGCCTTGGATTTTAAACGCTCCTGCAGAAACTAGCTAAGCCCCTTTTGGGGTTTGTAATTTTGAGGACCTTCCCCAGACTCTGTGTGTGAGAAAGCCTCTTCTCCCTCTTTTGGGGGTCAACTTCAAGTTTGGGGTCCCATAGGCGTAGCTTCGGGTATGGAAGGGTCACTTACTAAACCAGATTATGGTTCGAGAACAAACAAATCAAAAGAAGTTGGTATTGCACGGTCCTGGCAGATTTAGGGCACTGGGAGGCCCTTTATGGCTTACGTGGTGGGGATTAGACTTATGACACAAGGAGGAGAAGATACCATATGTGGTTGTTGCATCCCCTCACATCCCCCTTGATTTTGGTGCTCACATTTGCTCATGTAAGACAACAAACTTTTAATTGCATTGGAAGTTAACTAGTGTGCTACAGGTTAAAAACCATATATATAAATAAAATGCTTACATTGAGTAACGAAACAATAATTATGCATTTCAGCGTGTAAATAATACATCGCCAGGGAACACAAGTTCTAGGAGCAGTCCGAAATTTAATGGTCATTCTCCTCAACCTCCGGGCTATGACAGGTATGTTATTTTCATTTTGTTTGAATTCTGGATCAAAGTTGAAAGGAGAGTAAATTTCCTTAGAGGTAAATTAAAATAATAGAATATATTTTGGGCACTAATTTGTATTTCTACACTTACTTTAAATTTTGGAACATGAAATATGTATAAAGATTAAAGTAAAAATGTTGAAGATAGGGCAAAGTAATTTCCTTAAGATGTCATGACTTGGTTTTATGTAAGCTCACCTTGACCTCATTCCTAATTGTGTCTTGTTTCTTAGAAGTGGACTTGGTAAAGGGAGTTTCAGGGAAACCAGTCAAACTCCGGTATATGTTGTGTTATTCAGCAATTCTAAACCTGTGGGTCTGACCCCTTTGGAGGTCGAACAACCCTTTCACAGGGTTCGCCTAAGACCATAGGAAAACACATATATAATTACATATTATTTTGTGATTAATCACTATGCTTTAATTATGTTCAATTTGTAACAATTAAATTGGGGGTCACCACAACATGAACTGTATTAAAGGGTCGCAGCATTAGGAAGGTTGAGAACCACTGTGTTATATGATGTTGAGATTCTTGGTAAATGTTTAATAGCTCAGCATAATATGTAAGCTATATTCAAGGAAAAGGACACTTTCCAAACAAAAGCAATATGGCTAGTGTTTCCAAGCTCTACTGTATTAAAGGAGTCACAGAGGCTACCAGAAGTGAAAATTTAGCTCTATTTTTTAAAAATTCATCTTATTGTTGAGAATATTACAGATGTTCCCTCTTTCTCCCATTGATCCCTTCCAACCCACCACCCTCCGTGCTTTCACCGCACTATTATCTGTCCATGGATTATATATGTATGTATTTAAGTTCTTTGGTTAATCTCTTCCTGTCCTTCCCAACCCCCGCCTTCTCACCGAAATTTGTCAGTCTGTTCCATGTTTCCATGTCTCTGGATCTATTTTATATGTCAGTTTATTAAATTCATTAGATTCCACATATGAGTGAGATCATGTGATACTTGTCTTGCTCTGACTGGCTTCTTTCACTTAGCATAGTACTCTCCAGGTACCTACATGCTCTCTCAAAAGGTAAGAGATCCTTCTTTCTTTATAGCTGCATAGTATTCCAGTGTGTACATGTACCACATCCTTTTTATCCACTCATCTACTGATGGGCACTTGGGCTGTTTCCAGATCTTAGCTATTATAAATAGCGCTGCTATGAACATAGGGGTGCATATATTCTTTCTGATTGGTGTTTCAGGATTCTTAGGGTATATTCCTAGAAGTGGATCACTGGGTCAGGTGGCATGAAAATATTTGCCAATGATGCATCTGATAAGGGATTACTTTCCAAAATATATAAAGCTCATACAACTTAACAAAAGGAAGACAAAAAATCCAATTAAAAAATTGGCAAAGTACCTAAATAGATACTTCTCCAAAGAGGACATATAGATGGCCAAGAGGCATATGAAAAATGCTCAAAGTCACTAATCATCAGAGAGATAAAATTAAAACAACAATGAGGTGTCACCCCATCCCTGTCAGGATGGCTACCATAAAAAAATCAACAAATGACAAGTATCGGTGAGGATGTCGAGAAAAGGGAACCCTAGTATCCTGCTGGTGGGAATGCAGACTGGTGCAGCCATTATGGAAAACAACATGGAATTTCCTCAAAAAATTAAAAATGGAACTGCCATTAGCTCTATTTTTAATTAAATAAAGTGAAATATTGGCCCTACTGTAACTTTAGATCTAGCACTAAAAATGGAAAGATAATATGTGTGAACACACACGTGAACACATACATACATCCGGCTACTTAAATGGTTACTTTTGGAGTATGTCAGGGTTCGAAAGTAGAAGTGAATGGGCAAACTACAGGTTTCCATCTCTCCATCTCTGATGCAGCTTTCTGATTCATGCTCATTCCCTTTTCACCTGGAGACCTTTAGTCTAAAGAATAATGTACTTAATATGCTGGTGATAGCAAAATGGGCCAGTCCCCTTTCAGGAAGGTCAGTGGTCACTTTTAAGAAAATTCTATCCATGTAGCAGATGTTTTGTCCACTGATTTGTGAAATAAAAAATTGTAATGGTTTGTTGATTTATAGGCAGCTGACTGCTCTGTCATTGGGAAATACAGATTACTTTTAAGAATGTGTTGGTGTGATGGCATTTTTCTGGCCTGATATCTAAGGTCAGTTTTAAGCACACAGGGGAAAAGATGCCTAACTGAAAATTATTCCAGAAATTCCATCATGATTTATTTTTGAAGACAGTAAATACCATGAACAAGGCTCATAAATACTGGACTAAGAGCCCATGGACAATAGCTTCTGAGGGACAAGTCGTCACACCCCAGAGGCTCAGAGCGACAGGACCCTGTCACCTGTGTGCTCACCACCTTGAATAGAGGGATGCCATTGTCCCACTGATGTTCCTTTTTGGGCAGTCACTAGTTTGATAGAAGTTAATATTTTCTTTTCTTTTTGATGCTAGTATAAACAGTTAAAAGCATATTATAAATTTAATTTTATTACTTCTGTGGCCTTACTGAATTTCAACTTGTCTATTTGTTTTAGCTTTGTGTTTTTCTAAGAATGCCAATGACAATATGACTTGTTTTAGATTTTAACATATTTCATTGTAATGAAAATATTCTCTGGGTGGGTAAGAATAGTTTACTTTTGCCGAAACCAGTTTGGCTCAGTGGATAGAGCGTCAGCCTGCGGACTGAAAGGTCCCAGGTTCGATTCCGGTCAAGGGCATGTACCTGGGTTGCGGGCACATCCCCAGTGGGAGATGTGCAGGAGGCAGCTGATCGATGTTTCTCTCTCATCGATGTTTCTAACTTTCTATCTCTCTCCCTTCCTCTCTGTGAAAAATCAATAAAATATATTTAAAAAAAAGAGAATAGTTTACTTTTAAAATAGTATGTATATAAGTTGAGTTTGAAAAAGTCTGATCTGTACCTATATTTTTAATTTAAAGTTTAGACATTCATGGAGATGATCTCAGTTCAGGATTTTACTTCTCCTTTTTCCTTATCAAAGATACAAGTAGGTTAAAAAGATAAAGTTCTGACCAATAATGACATGGAGCTGAAGTAGGTTGTACTATATTATAATGAGAATGGTTTTCTTAAGTTCCTTACAGATTAACCTAAAATCAATTTCAGAAGGAGAGTGTCATAAATGATGAAATAGTAAAAGAATGTATACACACCTAGCTAGCTAGGTAGATTGAGATTTGGTATGAAATTCCTCTTCCAAGAAAAATACCTCGTAAGTGAGCAACATATCAGATAAAGCATATTGGTTAAATCACCTTTTTAGTTCATTTTAAACATTTGCTAAAGGCACCAAAATATTTTGATTTCTAAGATTTATATAGCTTATACTTCTATTAAGTCCACCCTGTCTTTTCTAAGCATATCCATCTCTTGTTAGTTCTCATATCTGGAGACCCATGTACCCGCCCATTGCCCCTTTCTGATGAAATCATGTATGCCAAGTAGCTAGGATTGTGTCTGATGTGTAGCAGGGACTAAAGAAATTATAGCCACTGTTTTTATTTTAATATAAAACTAGATTCTTATGAAAATAAATAGAAAAGCAGATGTTTGAGTTTCATGAGAGGAAAGATCCACAGAAGTCAGAGGTTCTAACCTTTCTGCATGAAACCTCTCCTGTAGGGGTTTTTCCAGACTGTGTGTCGACATTTCACAGCAGAAAACTCATTTCACCTTCCAAACTGTTTCAGGACCACATGTTTGTAATTGTCATTTTTCACCATGTTGTTAGAAATATGACTCTCAGAAAAGTCTACCAGTTGGCCCTTATTTTGTCTTGGGAAACCTGAGGGAATGTATTCTTCTTCTCGTGTCAGCCCTTCGCTTATTTGAAGAGCGAAACCATTAAGATTTAAGCTGAGTGCACTGAACCATTTCTCATATTGGAGGGTTTTGAGTCTCACGTCATCACTGTTGCCCTCCCCTCGCCCCACACCCACTCCCCAGGTTATCAGCATCCCTTTTAAGTAGAGATGTTATTCAGAAATGGATGCATTGTTCAGAATGTGGTCTGACCACACGAGAGGGAAAAGGTTCACATGTTCTACATTTATTTTTCTTTTAAAAAAATATATTTTATTGATTTTTTACAGAGAGGAAGGGAAAGAGATAGAGAGTTAGAAACATCGATCAGCTGCCTCCCGCACACCTCCCACTGGGGATATGCCCGCAACCAAGGTACATGCCCTTGACTGGAATAGAACCTGGGACCTTTCAGTCCGCAGGCCAACGCTCTATCCACTGGGCCAAACCGGTTAGGGCCATTTATTTTTCTTAATGAAACTTTAGATTGCATTTAGATTCTGGGAACCTTTTTTTTTTTTTTTTTTTATCAGGAAATACTAGTAAAGGTGATTAGAAAAATGCTTTCATTTATTAAATGCTTGAGTGTCTTTATTTTAATTGACTGTTGCATGGAATGAACTGATATGGCTTTGAATGTTTTATTTCTCCTGATGCTTAATCATGGAATACACTGTGATTCTTGGCAAACGTGCCAATGTCAGTCTTGAGTCCACTCTTGCCCCTGTGGTCTCGAGCATTGAAGCCCTCAGATACCAGTCTTCTCCTCTACCCCAGGTCCTCCCGCTCTTCCTACGTGGATGAGGACTGTGACTCGCTGGCCCTCTGTGATCCTATGCAGAGGGTGAATTGTGAAGTTGACAGCCTGCCTGAGAGCTGCTTCGACAGTGGCCTGTCCACCCTGAGAGACTCCAATGAGTACGACTCAGAGGTGGAATACAAACACCCGAGAGCATTTCCGAGGTCGCACGGCATGCGGGAGAGCTCTGCTGGCGATGCTTCAGACACAGACGTAAGCCCTGGGAATCACTGCTCTCCTAGGGCCTAGGCCAGGGGTGGGCAAACTTTTTGACTCGAGGGCCACAATGGGTTCTTAAACTGGACCGGAGGGCCGGAACAAAAGCATGGATGGAGTGTTTGTGTGAACTAATATAAATTCAAAGTAAACATCATTACATAAAAGGGTACGGTCTTTTTTTTTTTTTTTAGTTTTATTCATTTCAAACTGGCCGGATCCGGCCCGCGGGCCATAGTTTGCCCACGGCTGGCCTAGGCTCATCCTCCATAGAGATCTGGCACCCTGTTTGACTTTGATCTGTCATGGAATCCATTTTAAAGGTTATAACTATGAAACATAGGTAGAATGGTTTTTTTTCTCGACTAATTTAAGGAGAAATCCTCATTGATTGACTTGTGGGGCACTCTGTTCCATAGCAGCATGGACTACACATTCAGCTGTATCTGTTTCTTCTCTTGAACCTATGATGCATATGTGTAATGAGAGGCATTAACAGCTAACTTTTTTAAAAAACAGGTTCCTGATATAAGGGATGAAGAGACGTATGGTTCAGATGGTGTGGCTTCGGTCTTAGACTGGAAGCCCCCTGTTAGTGAAGGCAGCGTTGCTAGTTATCCAAGAAAGCCCATCTTGGCACTTTCACCCCAGGTAGGTGGTTCCTGAACACAAATAATTTTCTGTGTCTTGTAACTAGTTAGGAAGGAAACTGGCACCCCCTTTGTCACCCACTGTGTCTTTTCCCCCTAGACAGACATGGCGGATGAGAACAGGTCTTCCAGCTCACAGAAGGCTTACAAGATCGTGCTCGCGGGGGACGCCGCAGTGGGGAAGTCTAGTTTCCTCATGAGACTTTGCAAGAATGAATTTCGAGGAAATACAAGTGCCACACTGGGTATGATTCCTTTTTTTCAGATTTTAATGGAGAAATGACTTTTTTAGCTTGGTTTTAGTTTCTTTAGGGGTTGTGTACACAGATACACAGGTCAGTCTCTCTCCCCATACATATAGATAGATGTGTGTGTGTCTTTGTCTATGGAATGGTCCTCTCCTGTTTTGGCGAAGGCCTAGCTCTAGGAAAGGGAGACTGACAAAGGACAGAGGTATCTACTTAGCAGTTGATGACAGGTTAGAGCTTAGAGCCTGAGAGGACAAGTTCATTTATTCAGCAAACATTTCCTGAGTCCTACTGTGAGCCAATTGCTGTTAAAGGTGCTAAGGCAGGGGTCCTCAAACTTTTTAAACAGGGGGCCAGTTCACTGTCCCTCAGACCGTTGGAGGGATGGACTATAGTTTAAAAAAAAACTATGAACAAATTCCTATGCGCACTGCACATATCTTATTTTGAAGTAAAAAAAAACAAAACGGGAACAACTACAATATTTGTATTTGCATGTGGCCCACGGACCATAGTTTGAGGACCCCTGTGCTAAGGATACACAATGAACAGAGTTGACTACATCCCAGCCCACAAGGAGTTTACATCTCAAAGGAGGGAAATGGATGAAAAACAAATAATAATTTTTAAAAAAAAGAGGTTTAGGGAGAGGTGTACTTTTATGCAGGGTGGCCAGGGAAAGCTTTTCTCATAAGATGTCGTTTGACATTGGTAAAGGGACATTATTGATGGCTTGTTTGTCACTGAATCAAAATCATAGAAGTTTGCTACCTCCCTTCTTAACAATGGAATGTACTACCTCTCAGAAGAAAGCAGAAATTATGCCTAATTTCCCAAATTTGCATAATAATCAGTAGAAGGAGTTGAAGATATGCAAATTATCATTTATTTTTCTTGTGTATCTAAAATGTTCTTATTTTGATAACCAGAAAAGTTAGAAAAGATTGGTTACCCTCTTCACAGTGGGCATCTTTGTAAATTTATGGTTCTTTATTTAGACCACTCAAAATAACAAAGCCAAAGGTTCACTTCAATTTGATTCATAAAAAGACTCCAGTATGCGGTTCAGTTGCTATATATGTATATATGGCATATGTACATAATCATATACATATAAACACCTACACATATTTATGTACATGTGCACACAGATTTAACAGTTCCCTAATTACATGACAGATAGAGCATAGATTTTTTTCCCTTTGTCCATAGACTAGATTCTTCCCCAAGTCAGCCAGCCTGCAGATAGTGCATCCCGTGCAGTTGTGGGGTCTGACTGATAATTAGTATGTGAAGTCTCTCTCGATGAAGGCCATGCTCATTTCTCTCTATCTCCCTGGGCTCTTTGCTTTATTGACTCCTGTCTCATCTAAAGAGAACTTGAAAGTAAAAACCAGTGGAATGATTTACATCCTGTTCTCCGTGTTCTCTTCTATTCCTTTGCAGGAGTTGACTTTCAGATGAAGACCCTCATTGTGGATGGAGAGCGCACAGTCCTGCAGCTCTGGGACACGGCCGGTCAGGAGAGGCAAGTGCTTTCCGGAGAGCTTGGGCCCTGCTTAGACTTACACAGACAAGCTTCGCAGCCCACTCGGTGTTTTCTGTGCTTATCACTATGTAATTATAAGGTACCATACAGTTAGATGGTACCTTAGAATTTCCAGAATGCTCACTTTCTTACCTCTTTCACTCATCTATCAGCTGTCCTCTCAGGCTCTAAGCTCTAACCTGTCATCAACTGCTAAGTAGATACCTCTGTCCTTTGTCAGTCTGATAGAGAAAAAGGATCTTAAGCTTCTACGAAGCTTGTGTTCAGTTGGGAAAAGAGAGGGCCTGTTCCTAACTAGAGAATTTAGTGAGATGACACCTTTGAATGCAGTGACAGCATGAGGAGCTGCTCAGGGGGCACAATAGAAGACAGCTTCCCTTGGTTCCAGGGCAGAGGCACAAACTAAATAGCAGAGTCGCACCTGGTGATGGTACCTCATCTTGCATTTATTGCCCTTGACCAGAAGGATTTCCTGTCGGTTTTAGTATTGACTAACTCTTTGGGAGCAGAATCTATCCAGCTGTTCAACAAGTAAGTATGGGGTGCCTACCTACCTCTGCACCAGGCACCATTTAGGCTGCTAAGATTCATTAGTGAATCTTCGCAATAGGATACAAATACCTGCCCACGTGGAGCTCCTGTTCTGCGGCCAACTGAGCATTCCAACGTTTAAAAAATACTTGTGGCTGACATGGCCCGAACTAAGACAATATGAAATATTGCACTTGATTTAGAGAAAGACATGTAGGTTGCAGTATGCTCTTACCTTAGTGAGTCCCTCACCTCCATGTATGTAATGTGCCTGGTGCATGGTGGCATCCACATTGTTCTCCCACCCTCCTCAAGCCTGGAAGACCATTTTCTCTAATGTGTGTCTCCTTCCACCCTTCTCTATGTCCTACTCATGGGTTTTGGTAGGTTTTAGCTGAGGCTGGAACTTTCAGAAATTACAGTGTCATCCTTGTCCTGGTTATGTTTTGGGGTTTGTAGACATTCTTGGGGTTGTTTGGTGGAACAGATGATTGGCTTTTTAAAATCAGTAGCCCAGATTCTCATCCTGTTATCTGTCACTGGGTCAGTCTGGGCCTCAGAGATGACTTTTACAGTGATACATTGCCCTCAGATTTTTTCACTTGGGGCTTATTAGAGAAGATGAGAAAAAGGTGAGTGAGCACAGAAGCGACAAAGAATGGAGCAGCAGCAAACAGACTGATTAGATCCGTGCTGTAAGTGCTTCTCTCTTACCCAGATTCAGAAGTATTGCCAAGTCCTACTTCAGAAGAGCAGATGGAGTCTTGCTGTTGTATGATGTCACGTGTGAGAAAAGCTTTCTTAACGTACGAGAATGGGTGGATATGATTGAGGTAAGAAATCAAAGCAGAGAGACAGGAAATTGCCTGGGGAGCTATAGGCCATGCTGGAAAATGCTGGTTCTCTTCCTCATTGAAAGGAATGTGATGAGAACCCATTGATCCAAGCTGTGACAGAGAAGGGGATGTTGGAGGCAGAGTTCCCAGGGGCACTCGGCAGAATTGCTCTCTCTCAGTAGCTGTGCAAGTTCCTGCAAGGCCAAGGACACAACTAAAGGAGCTTCTGGGAATAAAACTTCTGGGTTTTCTTTTTTTTTTTAAAATATATTTTATTGATTTTGTATAGAGAGGAAAGGAGAGGGATAGAGAGCCAGAAACATCTATGAGAGAGGAACATCAATCAGCTGCCTCCCGCACACCCCCCACTGGGGATGTGACCGCAACCAAGGTACATGCCCTTGACTGGAATCGAACCTGGGACCCTTCAGTCCACAGGCCGACGCTCTATCCACTGAGCCAAACTGGCCAGGGCACTTCTGGGTTTTCTTACAGATAAAATCAGAAGCAAATGGAAATGCAGGTCACCTGGGAAGCAGCAGCTCTTACAAACGAAGCTGCTGGGGTGGGTGTGTAGCATGGTTGGATATTACAGGGCTGGGTGTGTAGCATGGTTGGATGTGTACAGAGCTGGGTGGGTGGGTAGCATGTTAGGTGTGTACAGAGGCTGGGTGTGTAGCATGACTGGGTGTGTACAGGGTCTGGGTGTGTAGCATGGTTGGATGAGTACAGGTGCTTCCATGTGTACTAGACACACAGGTGAGACAGCACCTGGTATGAGCAGGTACGAGGCCCTCATTCTATCGCAACTGTGTTTTCTCCCTTATTCCCGTAGTGATTTGGGTCTTTACACATCCCAAGGAACCATTGAAAAACCAGTTGGAATTTTTAACATGTGTGGTACTATTTGTGCTTTCTTTTGAACTGAGGAGCTTTCATTTCCTTTGGTTTCATGGTAAACAATTTTTAAAAGTGGGAAATTATTTGGCCATAGTTAGAGTGCTGCCAACAGTTATTAATCAACATAAAACAATAGTTTAAGCTTTGGTTTAGCATACTTACTTAAGAAACATACCCGAAACTAATGGCTAATACAATTTTTCAAGTAGGTCTATTATCTATAATTTTTAACAGGCATTAAGTGCAGAGGTAGCTAAACAGAGAACTTATTCTTGTCTGATCTCCAGTTTGTTTCTGAATTCTTCATTTGGGCCTATTTCATACCCTGTACAAAAAAAGTGATATGAGAAGTGACATTGTAATTGGCGGTAAACCAGTGATAAATAAATGTGCATATTGTCCTACTGAAATATCATAACTTAAAATTTTAAATACAGTGAAATGTGTAGACATTTATATAATAATTTTATTTCATAAAAATTTTCCATGTTATATTCATCTCAGTAACATATCTGAGAAAGGAGGAAACATAGTATTATTTGCACTTACTATGAGAAACCTGAGGCATAGGAAGTACGTGGCACTGGCTGGTAGTTATATAGTGGGTAGGGTTGGAATGGGGGCTTGAATGGGACCTTCTGATTCAATATGGTTGCTCCCTTGATAAAGCATCAGGGTGAGAAGAAGCTTTTGAAGTCCAGAAAGGAATCGGAAGTGTAGTCAGCTCATGAAGGAGAGGCATGTACTCAAGTGGACCTCGCTGGGACAAAGCAGTGAGCCCAGAGAATAATGGAAAATTCCAACTAACTCATACACATGGGTAGTTAAAATTACAGCAGAACTTGTTGAAATTGTTGGAACTAGTTTTCATTTTAAATCTTTGGATTATGCTCAAGAAAAGGAAGTATAAAGGCAGGGCCAGCCACGGCCCTGAAGGGGCCCTTAGCAACCAGCTGTAGTGTGTGCCGCTGCCCTAATTTGCTGAACAACCCGTACAGGGTAAGTGACCTTTTCAGCTGCTGGTAGCACCTTTCACAGGGTTCGAAGAGTAAGAAAACTGTATTCAAGATGAATTATTGAATTTGTTATAGAGAAAGAATTGGAGTCCACTTGGCATTTAACTTTCATCTTAGAAAAATAATGGGCGCGATGAACCTTAGCCATGGCTCACCCTTTCCAATTTGAGGAAATTCTGCAGGGACCATTTATATGGCCACTGTATAAATAACTAATTGTGTGATAGAGCAGAGGATTGAGAGGAAGTAGAATGTCAGTGGTGAGTAGGCCCTCTGAATTAATAATTAATACACTAATTGTAAAGCACTAGGTTACAAACTGTTATAAAATGATGGGTAAAATAAAATTATGCCCATTTTACTTATCTGTCATGAATAATTTATTGATTGAATGTTTGTGTAAAAGTTGAATGGAGACAGTTGAGACATGAGATTTCATCCTGACTTTTACACATTCAAAAATATTTTGGGGTTACCTCCTCTGTTGGGATATATCTGTTAATAAAGAGCCCTATCCTTATGGAGCTTGTACTTTAGGAAGAGAGACATAACAAGAAACAAACATAAGTGAATAAAATAAGTAGAATGATGGAAAGTGATAAACGTTATAGTAGAAAAGAAGGCAGGGTGAAGGGCCTCCTGGTGAGGTAGCGGGATGCAGTTTTCATTAATGTGGCCCTGGCCTCCCGAGAAGGTGTTCTTTGAGTCAAGACTTGAAGGAGATATTTACCTGTGTGATTTGGGGAAGTCATTTAGACGCTGGATTCTTAGCTAACTTAAGAGAATATTTGCTTAATGGCTTCCCAATGACATCCCTTAGGTCCCTAGAAGTGTGTCAAAGAACACAATTAATTAACACACTAGGTCAGTGATGGCGAACCTTTTGAGCTCGGTGTGTCAGCATTTTGAAAAAACCCTAACTTAACTCTGGTGCCGTGTCACATATAGAAATGTTTTGATATTTGCAATCATAGTAAAACAAAGACTTATATTTTTGATATTTATTTTATATATTTAAATGCCATTTAACAAAGAAAAATCAACCCCAAAAATGAGTTCGCGTGTCACCTCTGACACGCGTGTCATAGGTTCGCCATCACTGCACTAGTGGATGGGTGGGATAGGTTTAGAGAGGGCCTTTGACTCCCTCTCTCCTCTGCCCTTACCACACCCAGGTGGTGCCTTCAGTTAGAGGCAAGGAGTGTGAAGAGAAGGGAAGTCAAAGATACCTTCATTATGTTTTAGGCTTATTTCTTGATCCTGTGTCGGGTACGGCACCAAACGGAATGAGCACCTGAGTGTCCTTAGGGACTGCAAAGAGTAATGCCTTAGCCAGGGCTGCCGCTTCTCCTGTTTAGAAACCAGAAACCCATTTTCCTGTGCGATGCAGGTTATATTCTCTTATTCTTATTATAGGCTCATGAGATGGGATGTGCCTTTAATTAACTTCTTTATTGGACACATAGGGATATTGAGGCAAAAACATGAAAAGACTGGCCTGATTTCACACAGCCAGTGAGTGGCCAGGAGGTGGGAGGGGAGGGGTCTCAAACTCAGCTCTGCCTCTCACATCTGCCCTTCCACCCCAGCTCCACTGAGAATGTGGGGCGGTGTGACAGCTGGCATGGGCTGTTTTGGAAGCAGTAACCTGAGAAGCTGTTACTTTGAGTAGAGTGGTAACTGACTCCTCATAGGAAAAATGTTGACTTCTAGGACCTTCTTACTTTGCTTTCATTGTAAACCAGAGAGCAGTGAGTGCAGAACTTTCAAATTCCATTTTGGTCCCATAGTAGCTGAGGGATTTACTTACATGTTTTGTATCTGGGATAATGAAGTTGACGTGTAATCACTGCTGTGCAGAGTGGAAGTTGTAGGAAATGATGAGGTCATGCTTCTTGAGTTTATATTGGTTTGTGTAGCAGGAAGGGGGACACAGTCAATTTAGACCCTGGCCCAGGCCCTTACAAGTTCCTGTTTAAAACCTTTGAATGTCAGTGTCCTCACCTGGCAACGGGAAAGTGCTTAGCTCTTTTTAGAGATATGGGGATTTAAAGATAGTGTTGATCCATCATGTGGCACACAGGGGCTTCTGGACACGGCGGCTGCTGTCGTCATTGTCCTCACGTGTCCAGTGTTTGATGTGTGCACACTTTTTTCCTTTTCCTTGTGGTAGGATGCAGCCACCGAGAGTATCCCTATCATGTTGGTGGGAAACAAGGCTGACCTTCGTGAGTCTGCTGCTGCAGAGGGAGAGAAGTGCGTCCCAGCGTACTTTGGAGAAAAGCTGGCCATGGTAAGAGTGAGAGCGGGTCCGGGTTGGAAGGGGTTTTTTGCTTTTGTCCACCTTTGCTTAAGCGGTTCTTTGATGAGCCTGCACCCTGTTTGATGGGGCTCCTGTCCTTATACAGGAAGAACTCTCAATGTCCCCCCACATTATGAATTCACATAATTGCCCCAAGGATTAAAACCCTTATAGATGTAAATCGATCACTTGATCCTTTCCTCCCACTGCCTATCATTGATAAAGCGGAGCCAGAATGATCACGTCTTCCTCCTCACTCGCACCCAGTTCTTGGAATCCTTCTCTAGTCCTTGCCTCCAGCTAAAGGAAAAGGAACGGGTGTCCTATTTTGAAAAGATGGGCTTGGTTCCAGAGGGTTACTATGCCAAGGGGCAGAAGATGGTGCAATGCGTCACCTGGTGGGAAGAGAATAGGAAGACTTTTGTGCTGTGTATGTTTCCCCCTGTAAGGTTGTGTTTAGTTGGAACAGTCTAGAATTATTTTTGGTTTTACATTTGTTGTAGAGGATGGAGCTTACTCCTGTCGAAATGACTACTGTGGGCAGTGTTTACCATCCCATTATTATCACTGTGTCAGAATGCTTCGTGGCCCCCTTATGACTTGTCCTACCCTACAAGGAATCAGATGCTCCTTGATCAGATGCGGAGTTCACCACCTTCGCAGTCTCATGGGACACTGCTATCATCGTTGTCTGTCGTCAGCACCATGAAAGGCTTCTTGGTAGCAAATCCATGTGCACTTTAAAAAGAAGTTTGAATTTCACTATTCTGAGTTGGGAGATCATGCTTGTTTTAAATTTTGGAACTGTGAACCAAATATGATAAGCATCAAAACTAGGCAATGAATACAGAAGAGATTCATGCAAAACGTATTTAACTGTGTCTACCATGTGGCAAGCACTTCATTGTGTGCTGAGCAAAGAACAGAGAACAAAAAAGACGGTCCTTGTCCTCCTGTAGTTTATTGTCTGGGGGAGACAGACATTAAACGCATGTAATCCCATGTCAGACTCTAGAGACCTCACATGCCACTTTAGAGATCCCATCATTTCTGTCCCCTGACCAGTGTTATTTCCGCCCCATGCTTTCTCAGTTTCCAAGGTTTGCTTACTTATGATCTGGTCACGTATACCCTCCTGTTTCCTGAAAGGCATTCTCTGCCTCACCCCATATCATCATAACTATAGAACCCAGCAGCAGCACTACCCATTTCTACTAGGAATCCATTCATTTTGAGATTTTTTAATAGATTTTTCTATGGATCTGGGGGCTTGTGGGCAAAGGTCCCACAGTGGGGTTTCCCCACTGTTTGAGCCCTCTCTCTCTCCCTGTTCCAGAGCAGCCCTCACACCCTCCCTTCACCCCCCACAGGACTGTGTGACCCACACCCAGACCCACAGCACATGATATTCTCCTTTCCTAAGGGAAACTGTCTCCTGCTTGTTAGATAAAGACACACAAAAGTAACTTTATCAGTCACAATTGTGATCAGTGCTATGCAGGAAGAATACAGATGGCTCTGAGGTTTTATAACGGGAAGACCTAACAGGGCCTTTTCAGGGTTAGGAAACAATCTTAACTTCAAGGGAGGATTACCTAAGGTGCAAGGTACAAAGGTAGGTAGGAGTCAGTCTGGGGAAGAGGGTGGGTGGGTGTAGGGGTAACCTAGGCAATGGGAACGGCAGGTGCTAAGGCCCTGAGATGGGGGGGCATTTGGAGCATTGGGGAAATGAGGGAAGGCCAGGGTAACTAGAGCATCGTGAGTGAGAGAGAATGGTGGCAGGTAAGGCTGGGAGGCTGGCTGAGGCCACATACGAGCGAGGTCCTGTCGGCCGTTGTAAAGCATTTGAACATGAGTTGACTGGAAGGGAAGCATTGAGGGGTTGGAAGCAGGAGAGTGATAGGATCAGTGATCACACACATGCCCTCTGGAAGGTTGAATAATAAAGGACTAGAAAGTGTCCATTGGTTTAGCCACATGCAGGCTGCTGAATCTTGATAGGAAAGGATAGTGTAAAAGGGGACATGCGTTAGCTGCTGGCCAAAAGCAGACATACTTTTGATGGACTTTCCATTCCTGAGTGTAAGTGATCATTTTTTATCGCTCTCAAATGATTCGATAGCAAACATTGGGTAGCATGTGTGCAACTATTGGAAATAAGTATCTTAAAACATGAAATTTTGTATTGTGGTTTTTAAAAATGCAAACTGAAAACTACTATGTCTAGGAACTATTTCTAGAATAATGAGGTTCAAACTAGTCATTTATTTTTAATTATTGAAACTCTGAATCAAACTTCTTAGCTACTACTCACTCAGTGTACTCAACAGGAAAATATTTTTATCTTGTTTATTAATTATAAGCTAAACTTTCAGGAAACCTAAACAAAGGCTTTGTTTAATAGTGTCTGTTTCTTTTCCACAGAACTATGGGGCATTATTCTGTGAAACAAGTGCCAAAGATGGTTCGAATATAGTGGAAGCTGTCCTCCATCTTGCCCGGTAAAGTTTTGTCTCTTATTTGGAAAACTGGATGTAGACTTGAGTTTTCATGTAGTTGGTTCTCATGTCAAACCTCTTGACCATGGCATGACTCTACATTGGAAAACACTGTCTTGTCTTTCAGTAGGGGTTAGAGAAACAATTAGATGTAGATATTATAAAAACTGGTAATGCTGCACAATCACTGTGAACATTGGCAAGCATGCCTTTACTGCCAAACAAAGCAGGTGCATCTGAGGTGTCATTGATGTTTTTGCATAATGTCACCACAAAGCTAATAGTTGACTTGTACGAATTATTTATAGGAACCAGATTTTAAACACTATTATAAATATAATAGTGTTTAAAATAAACTATTATGAATATAAGTATTATGACATTTTCCAGGGTAAAGGAAAGAAAACCTCAGTAAAACAAATTGTGTATATGCCAGTTGGAAGCACTTTATTTATTACGCAAGTAATTATTTAGCTAAGGCAATGGTGTTAATAACATTTTGGAATGTAGATTAGAATGTTTCATTATTGAGGAACTTGGATATAAATGTGTTTTAATCCTTAGAGTATTCTTAGGAAATAACAACATGGTATGTTATGTTTATCTTTTCTGCCACAAATGAAAAGATGCTTCTTTACTGGCCTAAAGGGATTAAATATTAAAAAGAAAAACAAAGAAAGAAAAAAAATAAAAGTATGTGTTAACAAAATCCAGGCCAATGATCTTTAATTGCTGACACAGCAAAAATGTAATTTTAGGTATATAGTGCTTTTACTGATCACTTGTGAGGTTTTACAAGAATCTTGACTTTAGTAAGATAATTGGCCTCTTCTGCTAGTACATATTGGCATTTAAAATACCTTGCAGTGTTTTAAATTCTGCTTTTGTATTAGTGACTTGTGTATAGTGCTTCTTAGAATAGAATTCTATTAATAGAAGGCTTGGCCTGGGGCCCTGGGGAGACTGTGGCCTGGGAAAATCAGGAAAGGGCCCCCAGGACCTTGAATGATCTACTTAGAATTGGTTTGTGGCAGGGCCTGAAAGATGCCTCTGAGCTTCAACTCAGAGTCTTTGAACATTATCTCCTTTGACATTAATCCAAGAGAGAGAACCACCTGCCCCACCACACTGGAAATCTGGAAATCATTTTTATTTAAAGCAAAAACAGTGCTAACTTTGAATACAACCTAGAACAGGTAGAAAATAAAAGGCAAACAAATATTTAAACATAAAGTCAAGTGAATTAACATTTTTTTTTTTTTTTGCCTTTGCTTAGTAGGCGAATTATGGGCTAATATCACATTTGTCTAGAGCCAAAATGAAACCTTCAGAAATTAGGTGAAATAATGGATTCCATGCATCTTTGGGTGCACAGCTATTTTGTTCAAACAGGATATAGTTAGTAAATGAGGAAGGGGGAAAAATTAATGAAATGAACTAAAGATGGATTACTTGTTGAATTGGTGGGTGTTCCCTTTTCTTTTTCTCAGATGGTTGTATTGGTGTTTCATTAAAATGTACATGAGACTTCCTGGATGCAGTTGATGGTGTGTGCCCAGGGAGGCAGATGGGGGTAGGAAGGGCCTGCAGGTCTTTAGAGCAGCGGTCACCAACCGGTGGTCTGTGAGGTCCAAAAGGTTGGCGACTGCTGCTTTAGCGCAGGATTGGGCCCAAAGCTAGGCAGGGGCTCAGTGCTGTCCTAGCCTTAGGCAGTGTGGTGCTTAATTGCTGCTCTGTCTGAGCAGGAAAGGGGCCTGCTGAGCAGGCCCTGTGCATGGCTGTGGGCTGCTGCCCGGCATGTTGGAGGATTGTGGTGTCAGGAGGCTCAAAGTCGAGCCTTATATCTACCCCTGAATAGCTGTAAAGTCTTGAACAGTTCCCTATCACCCTGTAGGCTTCTCTAATCTATAAAATGAGGGTGGGGCTGAAGGAAATGAACTCCCAGGCCCCATATAGATCCAACAGTCTGATTGTATATACAATCATCTATACTCCCCTGAATAGTATAATCGCTCTGTAATGCTGAATTGTCTCATAGGGTCATATTAAAGTTAAATTGCTTCAAATTGCCGTGGTCACACCCAGAGTGCTGGATCGATTTTCTTTATTATATCATAAAGATGGGAGAGGCTGTAACCGGCCTTCCCCATTTGCTTCTGCCGCTGTTTATGGTGCAGCTTCCACACAAGCTTGGGTTTATGTAAAACACCTGTGTGCACAGCATTGCAATAACGAGGGCACTTGTGAATCGCTTATCATTGAGTTTCTTATTGTTTGTATTGCATATGGCCTGGTTTAAGGTCTCTAAAATTTAGTTATCAGCAGTGTGCTATGTATGAACATTATAAAGAAAGAAAATGTGTAAAGACTATAATTGGCTTTATACTCCATCTTCAAAGTTGCTTGTCAAAGTGCCTAAGTCTTAAATGGAAATGGTATAGTCTCCCCAGGTTAAATGAATATTTAAAAAGTTTTACAGCCTTTAGAATGTTGTGTAAAATGCAAAACATATACGTCCTCAATTTACATCTCATAACTCCCAGCATGGTGCCTTCCACACCGCATCATGTCATGAAATTGAAGGAGATGGGTTTCTGGATGTGCACCATCTGAAGGATTCCTTTTGGGAGGGAGGCCAGAAATGTGACACCCTGATCTACTTTGCTTGCTCTTAGAAAAACTCTCAATCCCAGGAAAAGTTTCTCTTAGAAATGCAATTTCACAATTTTTCTATTGAGATGCTAGGACACCCACACTGTCTGTTAATTCTAAAAGAAATTTAGGAAGCTATAAAAGGAAGATTTTTTCCCCTGGATTTTAACCATCCATTGTTACTTCCATGATCATGTATAATTAAAGAATGGTTACAAAGTCATCATTGCTTCTTGTTAATGTTAGCAAGTATCAGCCAGAGGTGGGAGCCTGGTCTAGGATAGTAAGTAGTAGGCTGTGCGTGTGGCAGACTAAAGCATGTGAAACCACAGAAGAGAGCGAGAGGAGTCTGTGTGTGCACACATATGTATATACCTGTGCATGTGGGTCTGTGCATGCATGTGTGACTGTGCGTGTATGCATACACATGTGTATGCACCTGTGCATACATGTGTGAATGTGCACATGTGTGTACATGTGTGGTCTGTGCATGCATGTGTGAGTGTGCATATGTGTACACATGTGTGTGCACCTATATATGCATGAGTGTGTGCATGTGTGAGTGTGCATGTGTGGTCTTTGTATGCATGTGTGAGTGTGCATGTGTGAGTGTGCATGTGTGTGTAAACATGTGTATGCACCTATATATGAATGAGTGTGTGCATGTGTGAGTCTGCAGCCTGGTGCTCAGAATGCTGGAGTTGGAGCCAGCCTGCATGCTGTGAATCCCAGCTGAACCACCTCTCCTGCTGTGTGACCTCAGGGAGCTCCTCATATATCCAGTGTAACAAGGGGGACAACAAATCCATATGGTTCTTGTGATGATTAAATAAGTCAACACCTAGAAAGCATTTACACCAGTGTCTGGATGGCAGTGCTCAGCAGTGCTGCTTTTATTTCCACAGAGCCATCTGTGGTTGAGGTTTGTGTCTCAGTAATCCCCCCTCTACCTCCTCTACTTTTACCTCTGCCTCTACCTCTCTCTCTCTCTTTCTCTCCAGGGAAGTGAAAAAAAGAACTGATGAGGATGACAGCAAGTCCATTACCAACCTGAGTGGGAGCAGTTCCAAACAGTCATCCCATATGAAGAATTGTTGCAAGGGTTAAACCCCAAACACCTTGCCTTGTGAAGTCTTCATTTCCGGAGTACAGAATGTGTGTGACTTACTTGCTTCTCACATGGCGTGGTGCAGCCTATAGACACTGTCATATGGAGAGTTACATGTGGGAGATCTGGACCTTGCTGTGGGTCCCTCCCATGAACAATTTGGGCTCCCTGGTTAAATATACTTGTCTTGTCCTTACAGGGTCTTAAACGATAATGTGTAAATGTTTTTTTTGCTCAGATCAAAGCTGTAGAAGAAACTCATGGGCATAATTAGATTCATGCAGGAGCTGACAAAACCTATGACAGCATTTCCTTCTAATATTTAATACTAGAGTACTGATAAAGAGGGTAAGGGTCTGGCTTTGCTGTTAACTAGGCTTGTGGTTGTGGACATGCCACCAGCCCATGTTAGTTCTGTGTCCTCATCTGTAGAACAAGGCAGCGTGGCCTTGGCCCTCTCACATTCTGTAGCACTTTTTTTTTTTTTTTTAGAAGTGAGAAGGAGAGTGTGATAGCCCATGGTTAATAAAGACTCTGGTTGTTTGTACTTTTAAAATATTGGAGTATTGATTTTTCTCACTTCTGAAATAAGAGCAGAATTTAATTGAGGGAAAAAAGGCAATTTTCAGTCTTTGGTGGAGACAGAAAAATCTATTTTTCTATGTGTAAAACAAAACATTTTTGTGACAAAAATAGTTCTATATAAAAGAGAGTATTTTATAACTCAGAATACTTACAAAGTCCTTGTTTTAAATTTGATGTTAAAAATTCCAATACACACATAGAAAGCCACCTAGGACTGAGATTACAATGCCCAGGAAGGCTGTCGCTGTTCACTCACACAGCTCACCAGTGCGTGGCTGCCAGGGCTGGGGACAGCCAGGAACCAAGAGTGAGAAACTGCTAATGGGTGTGTGACATCTTTCTGGGATGATGAGAATGTTTTGGAATTAATGGTTGCATAACTTTTGGAATATACTAAAAGTCACTGAATTGTATCCTTTCAAAGGGTGAATGTAATGGTACATGAATTATATCTCATTAAAAAATGCATTAGTCCTTAGAACCATTTAACATTTTGCCAAGGGAAAAGATGCATGCTTATTTCAAATCTTCCCACGATTTAAAAGCATGATCTCCAATACAATGCAAATCCCTCCACTCCCTCCCTGCCAGGATCCACTTCCTTAAATAATGGGCATGGGACGGAGTGCTGTGCGTGGTTCTTGGAAAAGCATCTCTCTAAGAGAGGAGGTGTGGTTAGGAAAGGAGTGGGGATCCTTTGTTCAGTGTGACTAGTGATTTTCCTCAGCAAAGAGCTGGTTGGTCTTGCCCTCCTAGAACCTGCGGTACCTCCCACACTTTCCCACTGAAAGGTCTCTAAGAGCCAAAGGAGTCAACACCTGACTCTGAGGTGGGTCAGCGAAGCCTGGTTTTTGGTTTTTGGTTTTCAGTGGCCTGAACCAATTAAGTTATTCCCAACTGGAGATCTGAGCTTACCCTGGTTCATGCAGGTCCAGGCCCCAAGTAGTTTGCTGAAAAACTTAAATAATAGCTGTTATATGTAAGCTGAAACATCCCTTTTTGTTGAATTAATTTATTGTAGCTATTTTTCTCCTATTTATGATTTTTATGATCAAACCTTAAATCCCCAATCTTCATATTTATTTGATGAAAATTGACCCGGTACGTAGCACACACAGATTATAAGTGGCTACAGCATCGTTTAGCTTTTGAAAGCACACTTCCTCTCTGTTGATAACCTCTTGTTTTTTTCCTGTAAAGTTAGTTGGTCTCCTTATAGCAACTCCACCATGGATTCCTGTTTCCTCTTTCATGTTTTTGTTGGTCCCCCCACCCCCCCCCAAAAAAGTTTATGTTTCTAACCAAAAAATGCCTTGCTTGTGGGGAACTGTAAAACTGCACATGGAAGAAGTGGTGCTTATTTTGGGGACACAGTGAGATGAAGGGTATGCATTGCCTGCCTGGGTGCCGTCTGTGGAGACCAGTTTAGCACGGACCTGACATGTATGCCAGTCACGTGAAACTCACGTCTAGGTGTTTGGTGCAGCTGCACAAAACTGTGTTAGTTCACGTTACCATGTGGCCATTATTTTTCACCACAGTGTCTCTCTGTTTGTCTTACCGTCTGTACATGCGAATACCCCTTTGATACAGAAGTGTTACCTGGGTCTTTATTCTCAAGTGCATGGCCAGTGCACCCAAATTGCCTAGATTACATAGGCACCTTTGATAGACAAATCAGTCATATTTAACTGTTCCAACACGGATAAATGTTTTGATAAGGGTTTGTGTATTTAGACACATCTAAAGATAAAAGGTACAGTAAAAATATGTCACAAAAGATAAAATATGTGTGCCCAGGTGCACCAGTGGGGAACTGAGTCAGGGAGGGCTGTGGAGGGAGAATAGACATCAGGAGGAGGGAAGGTTAGGAAGGCAGAGAGGGAAGGAAAGAAGAGGAGAGAAAGGGAGAGTGGAGGTCGAAAGAGACCCTGAGAGATAAAGCTTGAGAGGAGAAATAGTAAAAGGGAGAGGAGAGAGAGAGAGAGAGAGAGAGAGAGAGAGAGAGGGAGATATGCCCCGCGGGGGTGGGGGGTGGTGGGGGAAGGGAGACATGCAACTGGACTGCTGACTGGGAGGGAAGAAAAAGAGAAATGGGAGGGAAGTTAAGTTTGTGCACAAGAGTGTGAGAGTGTGTGTGTGTGTGTGTGTGTTGTGCGCGCATGTGTGGGCAAATGGACAGCATGCTGAGCCTCCCCACCTATTTAAACCACCCAAAGCTAGCAGTAAAATCAACATCCAAGTGGGTCCAGCCTGTTCTTTCAACATTGCCATCAAACTTCTTTGCTTATAATCCCTTATGATCTTATGGGACTACAGTCATATTTTTTGGTCTGTTCTTGCGTGTGGCACAAGACTGTATTTCATGTTTTTAACTTAAACTTAATTAGATACATTTGCATAGTTCTATGCAAGTAACTCATCTTGTATGAATTTTGCCTTTGAGAGTTTTAAAAATCGCTATTATACTATGTTCCTTTTTTTATGTATTCTGACACATGGGCTAATATTTTAATTTCATTATAGAAAAGAATGTTTGGTAAGGAGACATTTTTTACTGTTCACTTTTAGCCTCATGCATTTTCATAATTTATTTTTTCCACTTGCTGCTTTGTATAACATCTGTGACACTTGATTATTTAATACAAAATGATGTGATTTGCATAAACTCCAGTCTCACAGCCCTCTCACTGAAGATAAAATTGAGGTTAAAGATAAAGATTTATTTTCATATTTGTACAGTGATCAGTTTACAAAAGTGATCTTTTGTTTGTGGGCTTTTATTGTATGTGTGTGAAAGAAATTTCATATGTATATATTAAGTAGGCCTCTGAGTATTGAATAATTGTTTTATGATTTTGATTTATATGGTTTACATTTTCATGGTATCAGCCATACGTGGTTTATACTGTTTTATTTCTCTTCAAGCCATTAATAATTATACCATAAAGTGTAATTTTTATAGCCATGCAAATGTCTAAGGAACTACAAATATATTCTGCATTGTAAATTGAATAAAGCAGGCTTCCTTTGGTCTTTGAGGTGTTTCCTTTAACTATGCTGCAGGCATCCCTGAAGTAATTTTAATTCTAGGCAGTGCCTACATGAAACAGTGCCTGACACACTGGTCTTGTTGGCCTGGGCAGCTGGCTCGTGGAAGAAAGGAATGAACACATAGTGGTTGGTGCTGTGGCACAGGCAGGTCATCCTGGCCAGTGGGGCAGCGGGTCACCCAGTCTGGGGTGTGGTGGCCAGGCTTTTGTAGATAAATTTCAGGCCCTCCGCATGACCTCAGGGTTTGTCTCTTTCTCTGATACCCATTTCCTCCCTCTGCACTCCCGTGCTGCCTAGCTAACTCCTGCTCATTTAGCTTAAACATCTCTTCCTTCAGGAAGTTTTGCCCTCTGAGTGCCCACTCTAAGATGAGGCTGCCTGCTCTCACTTGTGTAGCAGCCTTTTTAACTGATCAGCATCAAGATTATTGCCTTTATACTTGTTTAACTGGACATAGTGCACCAAGCCCTTAGCCCTATTGTCTGTGAGGACTAAATTAATGTACATAAAGGGCTTGGGATAATACTTGGCACTCTGATCACCTTCAATTAAAAAAAAAAAATTGTGCGCCAGGCCAGAATGGCTCAGTGGTTGAGCATCTACCCTTGCACCAAGAAATCCCTGGTTTGGTTTCTGGTCAGGGCACATTCACAGGTTGCAGGCTTGATCCCCAATAGGGGGTGCTCATGAGGCAGCTGATTTATGTTGATGTTTCTCTCTCAGCGATATTCCTAATATCAGTAAAAGCTTATTAGCCTGGCTGGTTTTGCTGCGTGGTTAGAGTATTGGCACATGGACCAAAGGGTTCTGGGTTTGATTTCCGGTTAAGTGCACATACCTCAGTTGCAAGTTCAATCCCTGCCCTAGTCCAGAGGGTATGGGAGGCAACTAATGGATGGGTTTATCTCATATAGATGTTCCTCTCTCTTTCCCTTGCTCCCGTCTTCCCTCCCTCCCCTCCTCTCTCTCCCTTCTACACTTTCTAGGAAACTCAATGGTAAAAATATCCTCGGGTGAGAATTAAAAAATACATACTTTTTAAAAAGTTGTGAGCAGTGTTGATTGTATTAGTCTTGTTCAGGACCCTGGGGTCTGCCATCAATGAACAACAGAACTCCTGAAATCAAGCATAATTCGGGACATGGGGCACTGTAGAGGAGTCCCTTGACATAAGTTCATTGACTACTTCCCACATATCTTGATATTTTGACGGACACAAAGTTGGGGTATCACAGAAGACAGGATATTGTGTAGGAGGGATTTAAAGAGAAGGAAATCACTGAGAGAGAAATGAGGGCCTGGAAGTTGGCATGGAAAGTTGTGAGTGGCATCCTTATAGGTGTAGGATCTCCATTTATTAAGGGCTGATGGAATCAAGAGGCTGAAGAGATGAAAAAGATACCAGAACTCTGACTGGGATGTTGAGTCTAAATGAGAGAAGAGGTGGTGGGATCATGGGGTTCTCTAATGAAATGGACGCTGGCTTTATGTTCATATTATGACAAGTAGGCTACTGAGAAGGATCTCCAGGGGGTGAGTCCAAAAGTCCACAAGATGGGAATGAATCCCCAGGAAAGCATACTGTTTTGCAAGCTTTAAAATAAAAATAAAATATTTTCTTTCCATATCCAGACGCTATGTTTTTATAGCTGAAAATGTAAAATAGGCCAAAATGCTTCAACTTAAAATTATAGGGTAAGATAAATTTTTAAATGCATAGTTCTAGGAATAATTACCAAGTTTTCTTTATTTTGTCTGCATCGGTGTGTCAGGTTCACTTGTGAATTTATATTTCCTAACTATCCGTAGAATGGGAATTTGGTTGCAAGGCCCTTGCACCTGTGACGTCACAGGCTGTATTTGAATTTAGCTTCTGAAGAGTTGTTCCTCATAGCCCTCCTTAGGGCGTTGGCTTCCTGAAAAATTTTCCATCTAGGTTTTCTGGCACATCTTCCCAAAGCTGTGAGTGGGGTAGAACTCGAGAGCTGGATAAGGATCCCATCAAGGGGGCGTTTGGTGAGTAGGTCTTGTTTGGTTTTAGGGGTAAAATGAATGTTTTCTAGCTCGCCACACATCTCTTCTCGATCAGCATTCCAGGAACTGGCATTTTACCTTTTAGATACAATCCTACAACTTCTTAACGTGATCTCTAAGGCCCCCTGTGATCTGGCTGCTGACGGTTCCCTAGCTCATTCAGTCACATTTATCAATCCCGACTGTTTTCTGAGTGTGATTCCAGCCAGGGGGGTACAGAGTGCAGAAGACCGACTCACAGCATGTTGCATTCCGGTGGGGTCGACAACAAACTTGTAAACGCATCACTTGCCTGTGTTTTTAACTACAAACAAATGGTCTTTACAACAGTGTTTTACATTCTTAACTGTGCTGGGTAATTCAGATGATCAGGTCCTGTGGTAGACGTTTGTCACCATTAGCCTCT